AAGATTCAATAACATGATTTGAAGACCTGCACTTATTATCAGTTCTAAACCAACAGTATTTTATATCTTAGAGAAAAACACTTAACATCAGTCTCTCCTTTCATTATAAGATAAAACAGAATATACTTTACATTTGAGTTTAACTTAAATTTAAAGAGCAATGGATTCTAGACCTCTGGATAAAAGCCAACACAGAACTCTGCATGAGGCAGTGTTATTAATTTGTTTTGCCTCCAGTTAGATCTAATCTTTAAACTGTGCCTGAAGGAATAAAAAATGTCTTTCAATGATTATTTCCCTACTCTTAGAAGAAAAAAAAGATGACTCATTTATTAAATTTCTTCAGGAAATATAATCCTTAAATTAAGATAAATAAATGCAAAAATAATATACTTTATTTAAAACTGCCAAAATTATTATGATAAATTATATATAAACACAAGTACTAGACCTTTCAGGATGTGAAGACAAGTTTTTAAAAGTTAGTTTTAAAATATGCACCATTAAATTGCTTTTTTTTATATGTAAGTTGTATTGGAGTAAATGAAAAACTGAGTTGTTTTTCTTTCTTCTAATTTGGGGTTGTGGCATTTTATCATGAGGATCATCTGTTAGTAATTGAATTCTGTCCTTTCATGGATGGAATTATTAGGCCTTTAAACTGTAAAAGAAAAAAAACATGCACAACAACAACAATAACAACAACAACAAAAAGCAGACTAGCAACTGTTACTTCAAAGGAGACCAAAAAGGAAAAACAACCCAGAGAGACAGAAAACGTTTGATGCAGAACCAAGGAAGGTCTCAGTGCCTTTGCTGGGACCCTCCCAGCAGGAGCTGTGCCTGCTCAGGGGTGAGCCACATACACGACATCTGCCACTGGGCTGTGAAGTCTGGACAACAGGTTTGGGATAGAAGACTATTAGTTTTTCTAAGAGCCTAAAAACTCAGAAGATATAATTGGGTTTTCAGAGGATCAACATGTCATCTCTAAATAACAAATTTTAATTTAAAACATTATGAGAGGAAATAGATTATTTTGCCTTGTGTAGGGAAATAAACAATTTTGAGGGTTTTTAGAGACTTTGGATTATATAATTAAGTATAATAGCATGGCATATATATCATACATATGTAATATCATAGATAGATTATGCATGGGAAATAGAAAACTAACATTTGATGAATGCTTTGTATATACCATGCCCTCTGAGGGGTTTCCCAAGGTCTCATGTAATTGTCACGATCACCTTGTGGGGTAGGAGATAGAGACTCAGATATTAATTGACTTCTCAGGGACATTCAGCTAGGAAGTGACCAAACCAGAATTTAAAACATATGTTATATTGGGACACGTGGGTGGCTCAGTTGGTTAAGCGTCTGCCTTCAGCTCAGGTCATGATCCCAGGGTCCTGGGATCGAGCCCTGCATCGGGCTACTTGCTCAGCAGGAAGCCTGCTTCTCCCTCTGCCTGCCACTCCCCCTGCTCGTGCTTTCTCTCTCTCTCTGACAAATAAATAAAATCTTTAAAAAATAAATAAATAAAACACATGTTATAAAATTAATATTTGTTCACTGTAAAAATTCAAATGCAGAAGGACATGAAGTGAAAAGCAAAAAGTTCTAACTTCTACCATTCACATTCTACTTCCTATAAACCAAATTCATATTTTCTTGTATTTTTCTGAAATTTTCTATATGTATGCAATCATATCCCTTTATGTCTACTTCTGTGTATATTTTCATCCCTCTCTCTTTATACACACACACACACACACGTAGTTTTTCTTGCTTTTATTTGTAGACCTCAATGGGATTACCTTATGTATTTTGACACTTGCTTTTTACATTTAATTGTATGTCCTGGAAATGTTCCACTACAGTATGTATAGAACTATCTTATTATTTTATGACTGTGTGGTAGTCCATTGTCTAAATTTAATATAATTGAATAAAGAACAACATTAAATTATTTTCAGCTTTATGCCATTTAAGAACTCTCCGTATTAGTCTGCTTGGGTGGCCGTAACAGAATTCCATAGACTAGATGCCTTAAACCACAGAAGTTTGTGACTCATAGTTCTGGAGGCTGAGAAGTCTAAGATCAAGGTGCCAGCAAGGTAGGTTTTACTCTGACCTCTCGTCTCTTGACTCAGTAGTCCTGGCTGCCTTCTCACTACATTAAAGGATCTAGCCCTTTACTTGCAATGATTTTCGTCATTGTTTTGGTAATTTAATGTTTACTTATCCTTGCTCAGTTGAGTGCTGCTTCTGATTCTTTCCTCTATTAACCTTTAATACACTTCTCCAGGATAAGAGATGGGTCACATAAAATAAAGTTGTAGTGTCTATGTATTTTATTGCATAAGTCTGTCTCCCTTGTTGTCCTGGGATGTCGAACTCTGTTCCTATGAGAAGTTCCCCCTTCCTGCATTCTTATGCTCCATAAAACGTCTTGATCCATGTGTGTCTCTCTGCTCTAAATCAGACTGACAGAAATCCATATATACTCCCACCTTTGATATACATGTTGCTGCACTGAAAGGCATGTGTTGACTAATAAAACTGTGGGGGAAAGTTCTCTGAACCATATTCTGCAGTGTGAAACAGAAAATCATATCTATTTTATATGAATTTTCAATTCCATGAATTGCCAGGGTTTGAAATGCAGATTAACCTGAAAACCAATTCCATTTGTCATTTAAAAACAGCTCCTACCTATAAAGATGTAAGCAATAGCATACTAAAAAATAGCTAGCAAGATTTATTTTGATGTTATATTTTAATTACAACAAATAACTACAACAAATAATAAAGGCCTTGAAGAAGTCTCTTCCGCATAATGAATTGTCAACAAGTGGCAGAACAGTGAATTGCTACTCCAACGAAAGAGAAAAACTCTTATGTATGCAATAATTTCATCCAATTAAAAAAAAATATATGTGCTCAGTTGTACAGAACTGAGTATAGTTTTCAATTGCTTGATACAAATTATGATATGCTAGACACATTTTCTCCTTTACTTTTTACAGTGAACTAAAAAAAAGTTGATTTGTATTTTCATTTTGTAAATAAGAAAACTGAGTTTCAGTAAAGTTAAGCAATTTGTCTCAGGTCACACAGCTATTAAGTGCCAGATGTTGAATTCCAAACCAAGTCTTTGGCTTATGCTACCACATAGCTCTGCCTCCTGAAAGAAGCTTAGAGAAATAAGGCAAATGTGTGCCAAAATAATCAGAAAAGGCATCCAGGGGGGAAAAAAACCTGGAATTTCTTTTTTTTTAAATTTTATTTGTTTATTAGAGAGAGAGAACACCAGCACAAGGGGGACGGGGAGAGGGAAAAGCAGACTCCCTGCTGAGCAGGGAGCCTGATGTGGGGTTCAGGCCCAGGACCCTGGGATCATGGCCTGAGCCGAAGGCAGATGCTTAACCAACTGAGCCATCCAGGTGCTCCAAAACCTGGACTTCCAAGAGCGGCTAGGAGGACATATTGGATGGAATAAACCCTGAACGAAACCATGGAGGGAAGAAGGACATGGTGTTGTGTAGGAAGGGATTCCTGTGGTTGGGCATTCATGCATATAGGACCGTGTAGTTCATGTGCAGCAAACCACATAAGATCCTGAATGTCAGAAATAGAAGTGTGGACTTCATCAGCTACAGGATAGGTGGTGTGGAGCCATTGCCAATTATCAGTTAGATTAACAAGATGAAAAGTGACCTGGGAAGATTAGTTGGGAGAGGGAGCATTGTCCAGAAAGCAGCCTCCTAAGCATCCAAGAAGACAAGTAGGTGGCTCCTGGTGTAATCCAGGTGGGGTGTATGGAAGTGTGGACCAGAGTGGATGCTGTGCCTACACAGTAACTTGAAAAACATTTTGACGATGAGGAAGATAAATTAGGATGAGTCATACTGCTTCAGCATGTTCTAAATATTCACTGTTCTCATGAAAAAAATGTGGTTTTCAAACACATTATATAACTCAACTACTAATTACTTGGGGAACTTCTTTTTGTGTTTTTCAGAAGTCTGAATTAACAGAGCTTCTGACTTCATCCAGATCTGGGTAGTCATCTCAGTGTTCCTGGTCTAAAGAGGGGAAAGACAAAAAGTGGCTGAAGAAAACAATTGTCCTTGATAATAACAATTGTCCTAAATGAGTCCAGCATTGAACTCATTTTTATTTCAACTGAATGTTGCTTGGGTTTATTTTAAGCAAATCCCTTAGTCCAGAGAGTTATGTTTCAAGAGCTAAGCTTCATTTTGAGGTTTGTCCTTAACGTTGTGTGGTCCTCATCCTTAGGCTCTTTCCGCTTATGGTAGAAAAATAGCAGCCCAAACTCCTGAAGTAGCACTTTCTCTTTCATGCTTCTGATGGATAGCTCTTCTGTCAGCCACTATGTAAAAGTCCCTGTGATTTGACCAACTTAAGTTCATTTCAAGGATGGGATCACATCGATGGGTTTAGGCCCCTCAAGGGAAGTGGGAATCATTCTTAGCCAAATGGTGTGGCTAAAAAATTCAGGACCCTGGTAGAAAAGACCTGGTCTTCTAGCATGTTCATAATAATGACAATCATATTACAATATATAAAAGTGTCAAATCCATATGTTGTACACCTGAAATTTACACAGTGTTAGATGTCAAATATACTTCAATATAAATAAATAAGGAAATAATGGGGCAAGATTTAAACCCCCAACATTAGATTCAAACCCCCAACAATGGGGTCCAAAAAATGCTCTACCGTTATGCTGCATTGGGCTCTCAGATGCAGTCTCTTGAAACAAGGATTTATGTGCTTGTGACTGAGTAAGGAAGTGCCAGGAGAGAACACGAGGTGGGAGAGTAAGGCTAAGGATGGGAAAAGACCAAAAAAGGGTGTTACTGTATTGTACTTTGAGTGTTAACCTCACCCCATGGTCTTAGTCCACTTGGGGTGCTCTAACAGAATACTATAGCCTGGGTGGCTTATAAACAACAGAAACTTATTTCTCACAGCTCTGGAGTCCAAGATCAAGGTGCCAGCAGATTCGGTGTCTGGTGAGATCCACTTCCACATGGATGACCATCTTCTCATCTTGGGTCCTTACATGGTGAGAGGGGCAAGGGAACTCTTAGAGGAGCTAGGTGACCCCTAGTTTATTGAATATCTCTGTTAACTGAACGTTACTATTTGTTAAAATAGGGCTAACAGCTACCTTAGAGTTCATGAATAATCTATTAAAAATTCAAAGAACAATAGACACAAGAATGCTGTTACAAACTTTCTCAAAGGCAATTTTCTGCTTTGTTTGTGTTTATATTCTTGAGGTGTTTGGCAAAAGAGCCTAATTACTTCACATTCAGAAATCGATGACTGTAAATCATAATATTTTAAGTCTCTCAAGGGCATTTGCATATTCATCAAGTAAAACAGTCTTAATAGTGCTCGCTTCGGCAGCACATATATGAAAATCGGAATGATACAGAGCAGATGAGCATGGCCCCCCACACAAGGATGACACGCAAATTCGTGAGGCGTTCACATTTTTCAACAATTTACTTTGGGCATAGAGGATTAACAGGAATGTAACTCATAAATCTATGGCCCCATTCTGGTATTTTGTCATGACATTTAAGGAAATACAGAAATAACAATGTCCTGACCAATCAAAACTCACATAGTTCTTCTTGAATAATACATTTTGCCTGCAATGTCAAGAATCGACAAAACTCCCAGTATTAATACAATACCAACAAAGCTGCCAATATCAAATTTTGAAACTATATATTTTCTTGAGAATTAATAGTTGCTGTCACTAGACGAAAACAAAACAAAACAAAAACATGCTTTTTAAATAACATTACAATAAGCTAAGACTCTGAATTTCTACATAAGAATGCTGAATGGAGGAGGAGAGAGTCTCTGGGTAGAAATGCTCCCCAGCCTGCCTTGTGTCCATGACTGCTGGCTCTCCTTCCTCCAGTGGATCCCTCCCGCCTCGCCCTGGGGCTTCAACCCCAGGATCTGAAGGTGTTTGTGGTGCTGGAGTTGGATCCTCTACCACAACCTCAGAGGCAGCACGATTTGGGGAATTTTTTTTCCCTTATTAGTCCTCTTAAGAGTTCATGCCTTAACAATAAGTCTGGGCAACACAGCTGTAATCTCGCAACCAGATCCAATCTGAGTAAACTGTTCTCACTGAAATTTCTCCTTTTGAATAAATTGGGAATTGAACCTGCTTTGGTGTTATCGCATCAAGAGCTCTTGAGACATTACAGTTGATTTCAAAACATAAAAATACACAGAAAAAAACCCAGAAAGTCCGCTCTTCTGATAAATGTAATCACTAGCTTTTAAGTTGAACTGCACTTTGAATAAGTTAAGAAAATTGTGAGGTTCAGAATTTATGGTTTCACGGGCATTCTATTTTGAACAAATGCAAAAAAAAAAGAAGAGCAATGACCCTGATACTGCACATGTAGATTTGAATACCACTTGAAAATATCTTTATGGCACAAACGAATGAAAACCAAACTTAGCCATTTGGTTTAGAAATCAGGTAGACTGATGCTGCCTAATTCTATTCTCTAATGAGGGCCCAGGAATTAAAGGCATGACGCATCTTCACACCACGTTGAAGGACAATTCCCTGGTAGGACACCTCACTTAGTCACAGTCATTATTTGGCCTGATTAAGTTGGACACTCATTTTCTACAGGAACAAGAATACCAGGATCTATACTACTAACTTATTTAATATGACATCATCATCTACATTTCTATTTTTGCAGAATGGCACAATGACATACCTGTAGCATTTCACAACTATGTTCAGCATAGGTAGCATGGGTCAGTTCTGATACATACTTGTTATTTTTTTAAATTATTATTATGTTAATCACCATACATCATTAGTTTTTGATGTAGTGTTCCTTGATTCATTGTTTGTGCATAACACCCAGTGCTCCATGCAGAACGTGCCCTCTTTAATACCCATCACCAGGCTAACCCACCCCCCCACCCCCCTCCCCTCTAGAACCCTCAGTTTGTTTTTCAGAGGAAAGGAGGCAATTCTGAGACCTTCAGGCTTTCTAGGGTATTTACAGCTTCATTGGAGCATCTGTGCTCCTGCTGGGCAACCACACTGTTCTTTTTTTTTTTTTTTTTAGTTTTTATTTTATTTTATTTATTATTTTTTTATTATTATGTTATGTTAATCACCATACATTACATCATTAGTTTTTGATGTAGTGTTCCATGATTCATTGTTTGCGTATAACACCCAGTGCTCCATTCAGTATGTGCCCTCTTTAATACCCATCACCAGGCTAACCCATCCCTCTACCCCCCTCCCCTCTAGGACCCTCAGTTTGTTTCTCAGAGTCCACAGTCTCTCATGGTTCGTCTCCCCCTCCGATTTCCCCCCCTTCATTCTTAAAAAAAAAAGAAGATGATACATACTTGTTATTGATGAAGCAGCAGATGTCACTAAACTGTTGAGGGTCGTGGTCATGGTCATCGTCAATGGCTTCTGGGGTATGTTTTGTGAAACTGAGGTGAGAGAAGTCCTTTTTGTTGAAACCCCCCGTGTTGCCATTTTAAATGTTGTTATGGGTGTCAAGATGGTGACTGTCCCAGTCCTTGAGACTTATGAACATGGAGTAGTTGACTGCTTTACCGTGTTGGTGGCATACTCATTTGTATGGCTGGAAGTCACAGAGGTGATGTTCCCTGGAAGAATATCAAAAAACGTTAAAACCAGAGCTATGACTTAGAGAATAATATCCCCCTTCCCTGGGACTTTCCTGGTCACACATAAACAAGTCTTAAAAAAAAAAAAAAACTCTCAAAATAAGCCAGGCTGAATACTAAATACCTATGTGGAATATATCAGGAATCAGTAAGCAAAGGAGAGAGACACTTGTGTGTTTTATAGGGGGTATTATATTTCTCATTTGCTTTTTGAGGACATTGATAGAAGGAACTTTGTTATTAATGTACCCAGATCCAATTAAGAACTATAAATAAAATGAAAGAGTAAAATTAAAACAAAATAGTTTTATGTAGCAAAAAGTTCCTAAGAGAAAAAAGAAGACAATTTCAGATACCGCATGTATAAATGCACACACAGAATTGATGAATTGATGATATATATTTACTTGTGTTTGATTCTTAATCAGGAATCTTGGTTGCGAACTTATACTAGTTTTGGAAATAGAAAGGAATTGACCCATGAAATAAGAGGAAAGACTGAACAAGTAAGCCAGAGAATGGCAGAGATGCAGCTGGGTTCAGGAACAACTTAAGTATTCAAACCCTGCTGAGACCATCTTGTCTTTGGAACTTTTTTGTGCACCAACTTTATTGGATCTCACTACACACTGACTTCTTTCACAGTGTTCAGCTTCCAGAAGGTATTAAGTTCTTTTTCATAGTTTTCAAGGCCCAGGGAAAGATTGATGGGTTGGGCGCCCATTCCTGAACTGGTCAATTATGGCTGACAGAGCATGGCCACACACATCTTAGTTTCCATAAGAAATCAGGACTGCAGAAGGGGGGTAAATTATTTTCCAGAAGTCTCCTCTCCCTTGGTTCTTCCCTTCATTCCTTCTCTTCATCTCTGTTCCACTTAACTATCACTTCCTGAGCTTTAGCTGCCCAGTCCATTCAAGCTGTGGCCCCTTGACATCACATCAGCAAGTCAGGTTGTGCTTTGAACTCTGACCTTTTTCAAAGTGGATTACCTGTGAGACAATAACACCATTTTCTTGCTCAATTTGGTTGTCTCTTTTAAGTTGAATATATTGTTATGCTAAAAGAGATCTCCCCATTAGGGATGAGGATAAGGAGGGCAAGACAGGTAGATACTATCTATTATCCTACCATAGTCCCATGAGCATATCAGCATGATTTTATAATCATCTGTCTACACCGCTAGCTCTGGCTGAAATGTTTTCATAGGCAGCATTGCATTATGAGCCAGCTGCCCTTTGGATTACCTCTGTCAGAGATGGTTTACTGGCTTTTCCGTGGACATCAGCCTGTGCCTGGGGTGGCTATATAAAGCACAGTGCCAGGAACAAGAATGGGCAGGAAGAAAAGTGATGGAGATTTACCAAGTTTCCAGCTCATTACACATTCCACCCATCACCTCTCTCCTTTTGTTTTAATTTTTAATTTGTTGAATTGCAAGTTGTTTTTGGAGAGCTATGTTCTACTCATGTTTCAACAAGCAACATCTTAAATGAGTAGACTTGGAAGAATAAGTATAGGAAAATTGCTCATAAGAGCTCTAATAACCTCCTGTTTTTCTCACACTGAGCTCAGTATCCTTGGACAAGTCAAGAAGGGAACGACCCCCACCCTCACCCCTATTCCCCCGCTCCTTTTTTACCCTCCAAAAGTAAAAACTAAAGTAAAATATACATATACTTAGCTTTAGATAATAAAACTTACTTAACATTTTCAAGAGCACTTGCATATTCATCAAGTAAAATAGCCTTAAGACTAAGTAACTATATGGAATTATTTAATCTCAATCATGTAAGAGGAAACAATGTATATTTGTAATAAGTTTGTGTCTCAAACAAATGCAGGGACAATCATGACCTAGGTGTAAGTGTACAAATCTGTGAATTGTTAGTTTATGATAAAAAAATTGAGAGAGGAAGATGTATGAGTTTCCTAGGGATGCTCTGATAAGTGACCACAAGCCAGGTAGCTTGAAAGAGCAGAAATTTATTCTCTCACAGCTCTAGAGGCCAGAAGTCCAAAATCAAGGCATCAGCAGGGCCATCCAGGTTCCATCTGAAGGCTCTAGGGAAGAATTGTTCCTTGGCTGTTCCAGCTTCTGCTGGTCTCTGGTTTTCCCTGACTTGTAGCAGCTTGAGTCCAATCTCTGTGTCCATCTTCACATGATCAGCTTCTCTGTGTGTATGTCTGAGTCTGAATCTCCTTCTCCTTTCTCTTCTATAAAGACACTAGTCATTGGATTTAGGACCATCCTAAGCCAGTGTAACGTCATCTTTTTTTCTTTTTTTAAGATTTAATTTATTTATTTGACAGAGAGAGAGAGAGAGACAGTGAGAGAGAGAACACAAGCAGGGGGAGCGGGAGAGGGAGAAGCAGACTCCCCACTGAGCAGGGAGCCCGATGCGGGACTTGATCTTGATCCTAGGACCCTGGGATCATGACCTGAGCCAAAAGCCAGATGCTTAGCGATTGAGCCACCCAGGCACCCCCGCCCCCTGCCGCCTTTTTTTTCAGTGTAACTTCATCTTAACTAATAACATTTGCAAAGACCCTCTTTCCAAATAAGGGCACATTCTGAAGTACCAGGTGGACATGAATTTTGGAGGGACACTATTCAACCCAGTATAAGGGAATAAAGCAAAAAATATGTTTATTGTTATTGTTGAGGTAATTGGTATTTGAAGTTTGCAAAAGCACGTGGGTTCTTAAGTTTGCCAATGTTCAGTGGTTTTTTGGAGAAGTCTTTTTGGAACATAATCTGTTTCCCAATAGGTGTTTGTGAAAGACCATCAGGCAGGCACAGTTTTGTCAAGGACCCCAAACCTTTAATGACAGAAGATAATATACATTTCCACTAAGAGTTTCTTACCTCCTATTCTGATATAGTGCCTTGGTTCTATGTTCCAAGGAATTCTGACACACTTGGAAGTTTTTGTCTTATCCCTATCTCATTCTGTTCTAAACAACAAGGTCATATCAAGTAAGATTCTTTGGATCATTGCATTATTTTATGTAATTAAAATTTTTTCCTAATTGTATTGTGTCCAGCTCTGCCCTCATGCAGCTACGGAATGAATAAAAAATCTTTCCTCCCTTACCAAAATAATTGAGTCATTTACCGAGAGCTGATTAGGAGGTGTACATAGATTTTAAAATGTTTGTAATGGGAGCAAAGTGCTTTCATTTTCTGAAGCTTGTACCCTGCACTGAACAAGTTATACTCATCCATAGCCAAGGAACAGAACACAGCGCAAAATAAGGAAAGACTGATGCACGGAAGTACAACTGTGAATCCTGACTTTTGAGCTTTTATATGAATGGTTGTGAAAGTATCCTCAGTACTTCAGTACAAGTGGAGGATCAGAAGGGGAAGATTACAGGATTGATTCACAGTTGTGAGTGTCTGGGTCAATTGTGAGGGTTGGTTTCAAGGAGCCTCCTGGGAAAAAGTGACAGGTTGAGAGACTGGAGAGGTGTGAAAGAACCAACAGAGCAGGAAAGAGGGACAGAAAGAGAGTTTCAGAGGGAGCACAGTCCTGGGTGGTTATAAGTGCAGGGTGGGACAGTGGGATTGGGTTGCTGAAGTGGGATTGCAGGGTAGGTCACTGGTGTTGAGACAATCAAGAAATTAGGAGGCAATGAATTTGATGACTCAGTCTTGTTGATGGAAAGGCTTCATGGAAAATCTTCATTTCCATTCAATAAATAGTTATTAAGCAGTCTATGTGTGGCAGGGATTATGCTAGACATATTGACCTGGATAGAGGGTAAGAGAAGATGACGGGGTCATGAGAACAGTGTAATATTTGGGGCTTTTCAATTCCCAGTTTTATAGTCGATGTTAATTTCCACCTTGGTCTCGGCTATGATTAGCAGCTCTCTTTTTTTCTTGTTTTCTTTTTTACTCCTAAGTCCTCTCAAGGGTACCCCAAAGTTTCAGTTGCTTGAACTAACTGGAGACTGTTTTAGTCTTAAAAATCTTTCAGGTTGAAGGCTTCCCCCTCATCCCCATTCCATCTGTGATTTCTTCTCTAGATTGTTCCTTTGCTCTGCATGGGAGCTAACAGATAACCCACAGGTGCCAGGCCATCGTTGCCTGGCCTCTAATGCATATATGAAGGTGTTTGTAGGGAATTCCCATGTGTTCTGGTCTGCAAATCCCACCTGTGTACAAAAACACAGGAATAACAATATGTCATATAACATGGTTTAATATGTCATCAGGTGTTGGTATCCCTGCCACCCACTTCCGTATGCATTTTCTATTTCTTTTTATTTCTTTTTTTCTGCAGTCATATAGCCAGCCTAAAACAAAAATGAAATTAAATGTTTGTTCCAGTCTCAGAAGTACCCATTTATCCACATTTGTATACCTTATGTTGGCATGACCTTCTTTGACAATTTTTTTAAGCTTAATTTTTTTTTTAATAGAGGCAACTTTTGGCATTCCTATCTAGATTGTGATGATAATGTGACATCTCTGAAGTAACCAGAATAAGTCACCCTGTTTAAGTGCTGCTCTTTAGAAGCAGTGATTCACTACAACCTTATTTGTCTCCAAAATATTTTTAATATAAAAATCAAACGATTATTTCAAACGATGCAATGATGCGAAAGGAGGAGTCTTTCTTGCGTAGACCATTCCTGAATACACAAGAAAGGGTAGTGTTTAACGCTTGCATTCCACCTGCAAGAAGCCTGTATCATGGAGCACCTCTCTCTCCAGGCTCATACAGTGCTCGCCAGTCTCGGCCTCAGCCTTATTTGGGCTGAGGAAGAATGGCCCGGCAGGGGCTGCAGCTGCTTCCGAGGTTTGTGGAGCTGGTTGAGGAAGCAGCGGGAAATGAGCAGCAGTATTTTTCTGGGATTGGTAGCAGGGCACTGGATTCTCTATGCTCCGGAAGTGTGGCAGGAAGCTTTGTGGGGAATTCTGCTCTGTGTGGGGCATCGAGAGAGAGAGCCAGCCCCACTCCGGTCAAGATGCTCCCATTCCCTGGAACTTGTCCCCTGCACTGAATAGGTTATGCCTACCCATAGGAATATCCTCGGGTCTCACTTAATTATCCCACATGGTCATCTTAAAATTCCTTCTCCAGAAATGCTTCTGTTCTTCAAGGGTTTGAGAACCTGCGTTTTGTCTCTGATATTAGCGGCACCTTCATTCCGTAGTTATCCTCACTTCTCTTTCTTCGTTTGCACCTTCATCTCTCACATCCTTTCCGTTTTGCTGAGAGCTTTGCTTCTTCCAAGGCTTCATATTTCTCCTATGAACAGTGCTCAGGTTTGCATGCGGAAAGTTTCCTTGTTATCTTATGAATGTATTTTTTTCTTAGGAAAAACTTGCAGGCTCTCCCCTCGGTTTGTAATTACAACTTAATTCTCTTTGAAGACCTCACCAGGTTTTGAAGAAAGACCTTGTTATTTGCTCTCCTTAGGAAAGAACATATCAAAAGACCACCATCTGTCTCATCTCCCTAAGGGCCAATGGATGCTCGGACTGAGGGGGCAAGGGGGGCAAAGGGGGAAAGGGGGACAGGAGACCCCTCTCCCTCAGACGTAAGGCTCCCAGTCTTCATCCTCCCCCTCGCTGGCAGCAGCTTCCAGGGCCTGAAGCATCTCCCGCAATGATGTGTGGCAGCTGGGAGAGTACTGACTTTGGGGTCAGTCCAGCCTCATCTCAAATCCCCATCTACCATTTCCTGCCTATGGTACTTTGGGCTTGTTGCCTAATCCCCTGAGTCTTACTTCTCTCATCTGTAAAATGGAGTCAATAACATTAACCTGATAGATTGTTGTCAATATTAAATGAAATGACGAATCCAGTGGCTGACAGATAGTAGAGTAGGTGCTAAATAAAATACAGTTGTTATTATTACTGTTCCTAGAATGCATTAGTCGCTTAGAAGCTTGGTGTTGGTTTCAGCACTTACTGTATTTAAGAAAGAAATAAATAAACACTTGCTCCTAAAAGGTTCTTTCAAGAAGTTGAACGTGAAACTCCTTAAAGGCAGGCACCACCCAGCCTTAATAAATATATTCCCCATGCACACTTGTAGCTCGCCTCAATGAATGCCATTTGTTTCTGTAGCTGCCTTGGCAGCAGTCATCTCTCCTTTGCCCTAATGACTCCTTTCTGGGACCGACCCTGTGGAGCTCAGCACCACCTCCAGGTTCTGCCTGAACTGATAAGGCACTTTGTGAAAATGTCTCCTGTCCCTGTGTTCCTGTGGACATACTGTGCTCCGTCCCCCTTGGAGTGCTGAGGTGCCCACATAAGTGAAATCTCACAAGAAAGCTCAAACTGGATGTGGGAACTAAACTTTAATAGAAATCTTAGGTTACCCTTCTGTGTAATGTATTATGCAACCATGCTTAAATAATAACTGTCATTTTCAAGCAAAAGAGAAAATAGTTTCTGCCTTCGGGGTGCCCGGTCCTTTAGAGATGAGACAAGTGCAAACAAAGCCATGTGCAATGTCATTTCTGTGAATGTGATGTTAAAAATGTGCGTGTGGGTTAGCCCCGGCATGACTCACAATGCAACACAAAGGCAAGCTGGATTTGCAAAGTGGAAACCCCCTGGCTGCTTATTCAGATCTCTGCCTTCTACATACTGTTTCCCTGTGTGGCTGCTTCCATTTTCTGATTTAAAAAAAGAAAGAAAAGAAAACTATGTAGAAAATCAAAATGGAAAGCCTTAGGAGAGAATAGCTAAAAACACTTTATCTTTATATGCATGTCTAAAGCAGAGAACAAGCAAGGGTTTCAAAATGCATTTGCCTGCATTTGAGTAGTTAAGGATAAAGGCAGAGGTGTTGAACTCTAGGACAGGAAAAGTCTTGGAAATTTAGGGACACACCAGGACTTCTTTAGCAGATGTATGGAGGGTTCAAAGAATCCTGGAGCCTTGTATTTAACTACGCTAAGTACTGCACTTCCTCGGCAGGTAAGGCACTTGGGGACCTGTGGATGCACTTAGCTCCTCCTGAGTTCCCGGGCTGAGGTGGGCAGGTGTTATGAAGGGAACTCCCAGGAGGGACAACAGAAGGAACACGCTCACATGCATTGTGCTGTCAGTGTTAGAACCAGCTTGACCGCTCATTCTCTTCCCTGGTTTCCACTTTCCCTCTCCTAATTTGAGCAGTGTTACAGGGGCACATCACTACAATGTGGTTTTCTCTCCCAAATTCTAATAGTAAGATTCTTATTAGAATTTGATTTTAGTCACTAAAATAAGAATATCCATTATTGAGCCCTACTTTGTGTCCAGCACTATGCTTAGCACCAGATAGAAAAATAGACAGTAGATAGAAAGATAGATAGATAGATAGAAAGATAGATAGATAGATAGATAGATGATAGATAATGGATAGATGATTGATAGATAATGGATAGATGATTGATAGATAGAAAGATAGGTAATAGATGAATGAGACATCATCTATCACCTTCAATAAGGATGGATAAAGATAATATTTTGAGGTGGAAGAGAGGGAGTCTGAGGGAGTTTGTGTCTATCTACAGCCTTGGTTTGTTTTTTTTTAATGTGGCGAAAAAAAAGAAAAGAAAAGAAAAAAGAGGGAAGGGAACAAAGGGCAAAGAAGCCTGGAAGAAAGCAGTCTGGAAACAGTTGCCACACAGAATGCTAAGAAAAACAAAAGTGAGTTCAAAACCCAAACAGATCAGCAAATCTTATGATTCCTGGAGGAAAGCATTATCTCATCTTTTTTTTTTTTAAGATTTACTTATTTATTTGAGAGAGGGAGGGTGCATGAGTTGGGGGAGGGTCAGAGGAAAGCACATCCAGCAGATTCTGCCCACTGAGCGCGGAGCCCAAGGTGAGGCTTCATCTCACCACCCTGAGATCATGACCTGAGCTGAAACCAAGAGCTGGGCCCTCAGCCGACTGAGCCACCCAGGCGCCCCATGGGTTACCTCACCTTCGCTCTTGCCATCGTCACCATCATTATCTTTGTTACCTTCCCCAGAACAAATTGTTTTTGAGCCACATCATAACTTTGACACAGTTGAGAACATGATTCCTTTGCAAAACTGATCATCGTTTATGCTGCTTCCTGCTTACCGCAGGGCTTGTAGGGTGGTTTGCTTCATGGCATCCTCCCTCTCGTGTGTGCTTGTTCAGGTGGAGCCACTGATACAGAGAGGCCACGAGAGTCTGGTCCACCACATCCTACTCTACCAGTGCAGCAGCAGCTTTAACGACAGCGTCCTGGACTATGGCCACGAGTGCTACCACCCTAACATGCCCGATGCGTTCCTCACCTGCGAGACCGTCATTTTCGCCTGGGCCATTGGTGGAGAGGTGGGACCAACAATTACTGAGATGTGACACTATTCATGGATCATGTTTCTTTCCCTTCGGTTCTAATACTTAGAAGTAAAGCTCTATACATTATTTCTGATAGGAGAGTGACTTATTTTTCTTCCCATTGGAAGCAATTCTCTCCTTATGCCATTTTGTTATGTCCACTCTAGATTATGGAGTTCCAGAATGTTGAAATATCTTTGAGAATGGTTGGTTTTTGAGTGGAATAGAACTTTTAGGGACTTTCATAGGGCACGTCTCATGGAATTTGCCTTATTTAGGGTTTTTCCTATCCACCTCATGTTGGATTATCCCTTGGCACTCCGTTAGATCCTCGTTATGTGCTCCTGGAAGTCCATTATGACAATCCGACATATAAGGAGGGTGAGTTTATTCTTCATATATTTTACCTATGATTTTTAAAAGTTTTGTAAGTATCTTAACAGGGTTGAAATAAACTACCACCCAGTCTTAGAAGGAATTAACCTATACATTGTCATCCAAATTAGGGTACTTTTTAGAGCAAAAGAAGATACTGTTAAAAATTACTTTGAGGAGGGTATGTGCTTGGCGAGCGCTGTGTATTGTGTAAGACTGATGAATCACAGACCTGTACCCCTGAAACAAATAATACATTATATGTTAATAATAAAAAAATTACACCGAGGCAACAGTGATTAACCAGCACTGAACCAGGCAAAATGAGCGCACGTGGTCAATGTTCTTAAAAAAACAATTTGTATCCTGCTTTCCAAGAAGTAGGATAATAGATTTTTCTCCTTGTGATATAAGTTAGTTCCCCAAACCTGGTGCTTATGAAACATTTCCTAACTGTTCATATGAAATGCTACCATTCATCACACTAGAAAATATTATTTTTATGTGTACAGACACACTGTGTAATATGATATTGAAATGAAGAGGGTTTGTACTTATATTTGATTTGTGAATCTACTTTTCTAAACCCTCTTACGTAATAATCCAAAACCAAAAAGTTGAAAGATTCAATATGAAGTTCTCAACAGAAGTAACTCAAAGTCATTATTTTACACTGATGTGTGCAATTATTCAGCAAATACTGAGCACCAGCTCTGTCTCCGGTCTGTGCTTAATGATACAACGTGAATGAAAACACACCAAACCAGGTGGAAATTATAGCGTAGTGAGAAAGAGAAACAATAAAAATAATCACACCAATTAATATAAAATTGTGTATATGCCAATGGTTCCAAAGTGTCAATTTGGTAATCACAGGTAGGTAAGTCAACCCTGCAGAAAGGAGTCAATTAGTTTCGAAGTCAGTAGAACAGATTTATGAGGGGGTTGGGACTCTCCATCCTTATGATAACTGTCTCAGCAAGGAATGTGTCTTACTCATCTTTCATCCCCACATGCTTATTGTCATGCTTTCTAGTCACATAATAGATTATTAATATTTTTGTTGATTGAATAACTGTTCATTGAGTGATTAAAAAATTGGTGGCAAACTATAAAGAAAACTAATCATCAGTAGTTTATTCTATCAGCAGATGGTTTCTAGACCAAGGGGCTTCTACCTCTATGGAAATGTTAGTGAACTTTACCTGAAAACAATATAAAATAAAGCTTTTGTTGAGTTATTCTATATTCTGAGGAATGACTTTAGAATTTTCCTCTGGTCTATCTTTATGTTAGATCATTGTGGAATATATCAGCTAGACAACACAAACATTTCTCCTATGGTATACTGTGTAAGTCAAAAATGGTTGCAGACAATATGGTGACTTATGTTTTAATTGCTGTTTGTGAAACTGAATGTTGTCTTCCATTAATCTTTACTTGTAATTCTTTCCCTTGTGAGATTTTAAGGAAAATTAATAAATCCATTTCAACTGAATGTGGAGAACTTTTTTTTTAAGAACTCAAACTCATTTTTAATTATATGTTCTTATTCCAGGCTTAATAGATAATTCTGGACTGAGGTTATTTCATACGACAGATATAAGGAAGTACGATGCTGGGGTGATTGAGGCTGGCCTCTGGGTAAGCCTCTTCCACACCATCCCTCCAGGGATGCCTGAATTCCAGTCTGAGGGTCACTGCACTCTGGAATGCCTAGAAGAGGTATGTAGAACATAGAGTCTGTGAGCTACTAGTCATAGATTCATCAGTGCTCTTGGAAACTATGTTTGGAAAATCCCATGCTTGTTGTTATTAATCTTTTTCTTGTTGTCATGCTGTAAAGCCATTATTTATCATTGTGGCAACCCTTTGATTGCTTTTTTAAATCTTGAAGGCTGTAGGAGTAGAATTCTGGACAAGAATAACTTCCAGGATGTTTTCCTTCCTGACCTACTTCCTTTGTTTTTTTTTTTCATATTTGACACTTTATCTTTTACAATTTCTACCTTGGTTCGTGTGGTCTGTTTTCCATTTCTCAACTTCACTTTTTAATCCAGATTTGTTTCTTCCATTATTCATTTTCATTTTTTTCTCCTTTTCTCTGCTTTATAGTTTCTGTCCTACGTAAACCAAAGAGCAAGAGTACCTAATATAAAAATGCATATTGAGTAAGGAAAACCATGTAAAGTATTTAATTATGGATACTTCCATTTACAGTTCTTTTTTCTTAAATAAATGTATTTCAACATGGATCATATTCTTTACAAATTATAAGCTATTATATTGTAGACAGATGGCAGACTGATGAAGTGGAAAGATTATGCCCTTTGAGTTATTTAGATCAGGATTCAAATTGCCATGACGTCATGTACTAGCTATAGGACCAAGGGCAATTCATGGAATTCCACTCTTCCACTTGGTTTTCTTATCTTGGAAAGTAGGAATCATTTCTCCTTTTAAGAGTTTCTATTTACAGGTTACTAACATACTGGAATCTTTTTGCCAAGAGCTTTGATTGACTCTTTACCTCCTTAAAGAAGGATAAAGAAAGATAACATTTAGAAATGGTCTGGTAGGTCCTCAGTAAGCATTATTTCCCTTTCTTTTCTGCCTGCAAATGTTACTTCACAAAGATAACACTGCTAGGAATAAGTCATGAAAAATCCAAATTCAAAATGTTTGGCTGCTTAAGCATTCACTTAAATTGCTTTAGATTTTCTTCTCAGTTGTCCCTCCAACTCTCTTATGGTAAACTGTCTGAACATGTGCTTGTTTGGGCTAATTCTGTGTTCCTCTGTGTGCCCCGCCTGTAGGCTCTGGAAGCTGAAAAGCCAAGTGGAATCCATGTGTTTGCTGTTCTTCTCCATGCTCACCTGGCTGGCAGGGGCATCAGGCTCCGTCATTTTCGCAAAGGGGAGGAAATGAGATTACTGGCTTATGATGACGATTTTGACTTCAACTTCCAGGAGTTTCAGTATCTAAGGGAAGAACAAACAATCTTACCAGTATGAATGTTTTGTTCTTTTTCACTGAATCTTAGAAAAGTCAAGGCATCTATCTACTGTGATTTAGCAAGGTTTTCTACCAGTAAAGTGAACTGCTCATGGTATTCACATTCGTGAAGCCATCCACTGTGGGTGTTGCACAACCCAGATGGAATGTGTTTGATCTGATTCCCAAAATCAAACTCACTTTTCTTACCATTCCCAGGGGCAACTCACGTTGTTGATTTAAAAAGAAAAGAAAAACTTGGGTTCTGAGTACCAAACACTACTCTTTTCTTTGCAAACCTTTGGGTTACAATTCTGGTAATACAAAAATCAGAGATTTTTTTTTATACCAGAGAAGAATTTTGGGAAGCTCGATCTTGGTAAAAATGAAGATAAGGATAATTCTTTCATTTGACAAGGGTTTTGGACAGAGCTAACTATCCAGCTTGCAACAGTACTTGGGGTTATGGAAGGACAGTGTGGAAGGACAGTGTGTTGAGAACCTGATCCGTGGGCCTTCTGAGTAGTGGGCCAGGAGAGCAAATCTAGGGACCAGCACCCAGCACAAGCTGCCTCTGGTCCATGAATAGCCTGTCCACTGACCTGAGTGGTGAACCATAAACAAAATTATTTTCTGTGTATGCTGAATTGTTCAAAAGTTAGAAAACATTGGAACAATAACTATTACTTTGCTTCACAATTCTGTTGTGAGGAAATAAAGATGTGACTAAAGACCATTAAAGAAAATAATATAAATGAAGAGGGCATCACAATAACTAGTATTTGTGGGTAACATTTATGAAGTGTTTAATCTGCACTAAGAACTAGGTGCATGTTATGTCGTTTAATCTGTTCACAAAGCTGTGCAAAATAACAGCTATTTTATATAATTATTTTTTAAATAAATAAATTGTGCCCAGGTAATTCTCTTCCTTACCTAAGGTCGTGCAGCTAGAACATGGTGGAGTCTGACCTGAGAGAGCCTTATTTGTTTGTTTGCTTGTTTATTATACTGACAGTCTTAGAATTAAGTAGCTCAAGGTTCCCCTGGATCAAATTTCTTAATGAATCTACTCACATAGTAAATAAAACTATTGGCCTACAAACGTATTAGATAAATAAAACAGCCTCAAACTCCAATCTGAAAGCTTTCATTTTTATGTTCTAGGGAGATAATCTAATTACTGAGTGTCGTTACAACACAAAAGATAGATCCCGGATGACTTGGGTAAGAAAATTTTTATGATTATTAAAATTCATTTATGGAGAAAGACGAATAAACTTTGATTTTAGAGGAGAAAAAGCAAAAAGCATTCCCATTTTGGAGGCAAAATTCCTGAACATCTTGAGCAAGAAACATCACAAAAGTGAAATCAGAGCTATTTTAGCATTTTATCAGATTAACTAATGATTCTACAGCAAATTTGCGGTATAATTTATTAACCCTTTCATGAAAAGCTATCCTAGTCATTTAGCTTTTTCTCGCCAAATCGTATTAATTAAAGACTTGTGGTTGCAAGTGACCAACTGCTTGAGTCTAGACTTAGATGAATCAAGAACTTCAAAAGGAAGAATGAATTGCATTCTGACCCAAAGAGAAATTTGGTCCAGCAGATTTACTGAGGAGTCCTGACAAACACTCAAGAAATAGACCATTCATGCTTTACATAGTTTCTCCCAGGGAATACCTCCCACCAACTCATTTTATGAAGTTAGCATAATCTTAATACTAAAACTTGATAATGACAGTATGAAAGAGGTCAACAACATGCACCTGATGGAAATATCTTTGATGGATAAATCCAGCATTATATATAAATGTAATGATAGGGAAAAAATGTAATGTTAGGACCAGTTTGGGCTTAGCTAAGGAATGTAAATTGGTTTAAAATAGAAAATATATTAATACCATTCTACATTAAGAGATTGAAGGAAAAAGACATGTGATCAGGTCAATAGGGGTAGAAAAAAAGCCTTCATAAGATTTAAGTGAGTAATAAAAAAAGACCATTTTATAAACTAGGAATAGGAGATAATTGTCTTAGCCAGATAAAGCTTAGCTATGAAAATCTGTAGCAAATATCAAACTACTTGGGTATTAGAAGTATTGCTTTAATATCAGAAGGAAGACAAAGATATGTATTATCATTTGCATTCAACATTGTACTGGAAAAGGAAAAAAATGAGACATATGGATCACAAAGGAAGAAGCAAAGAAGCAAAACACATTATTCACAGATATTATAATTTTCTACATCAAAAACCTCCTCAAAATTGATATCTAAAACTAACTGTATTTTAGCATAAATACTAAATATATAAATACATTTTATAAACTAGGAATAGTTAAGAAACTATCTCAAGAAAATGCATTTTAAAACTCTAAGTTCTATAGAAATAAAATCTAACATTAGATGTGCTTGATCTCCATGGGGAAAAACTTATAAATCTTTATTTGCAAAACTTTATAGTGCACCTAAAGAAATGAAGAGATACTGTGTTCATGGATAGAAAGGTTCCATAAAATAAAGATAATCCTTCTATTGAAATTGGCCTATAAATTTGATATAATTTCAGTAAAAAAAAATTCAGAGAGATTTTATGACTTGAGGTTCTGGTATCCTAACTAAGACATCTTTGCCTAGTCATAGCTGTGAAGATTTTCTCTTATTTTTTCATATTTCTAAAAATTTTACAGTTTTAGGTTTTATATGGAGCAAATAGATTCTGAAATCTACATAGAAGAGCAAAGGGTTAATAATGGGCAAGACACTACTACAAAGTAAAAAATGGAGACAAGCTACTGGATATGAAGGCTTATTTTAAAGCCATGGTGATCGATAGTGTATTTGGGTCCAGAGTTAGAATAGAGGTACGTAATAGGAATCTTGGAGACTGACCTACAAACCCCCTATACAGAAACTTGGTTTAGAACAGACACCGTAACCATTTAAGTGGGAAAGAATGGACTTTCCATTAAAGAATACTAGCACAACTGGGTATACAATACACAAACAAGTCACAGGTAGATTAAATATTTAAATGTGAAAAGCAAAATCTTAAAGCAATTGGGAGAAAAACATATGAATATATTTTTATGATGTTGGGGGTAGTAAGAACTTAAAACATAAAAAGCACGAACTATAAAAGATTGATGAATTTGACTACCTGAAATCTTTTGGTTGCCAAAAAGCACTATTAAGTAAGTGAAAAGACAAGTTTTAAACTGAAAAAAAAAAATGCAACACATGGATTAATAAAGCATTAGTATCCAGCATATAAAAGAAATTTCATAAATCAGTAATGTAAAACAAATAGACCATAGAAAAAGAGCAATAGACACAAACGTTTCACGGAAATAAAAGCCCAAATAGATAATAAACATATGAAAGGATGAAATGAAATTTCATTTGAAATCAGGATCATGCAAATTTAAACCAGAAGGAGATATTTTATACCCATCAGTTTGGCAATATTTAAAATTGCAATTCCAATGTTCTAAGACTGGAGTCCTCACACACAGCTAAATGTAAATTTATAAAACCACCTTGGGGAAAAGTATGACATCATCTGGTAAAGTTGGAGATTCATAGATGCTCTACCCAGTTCCATTCCTGTGTGGATTTCACCTTAAGGTTCCTTTTGCAGGAAGGGTTCCAGGAGAAAATATGTAAAATATTCATAGTAGCATGTAACAACACAGGAACACAAAGCTGGAAACAGTTCAACTATTTATCAAAAAGAGAACAAATAAATACAATATAATATGTCCATAGAATATATTTATAGTATATATCTGTGAAAATTAATGAACGAAAGCCACATATGTTAACACGAATGTATCGGAAGAACAAAAATGGCAAGTTTGCAGCCGACCATAGGCATAGGTATGATGTCATGTATCTAAAGTAGACCATACAAAATGAAAATGTCATTTAGGGATGCATACATACGTCAATAAATGGAATGTAAAGGGCTTGAAAAGCAATAGAATGATAAATCAAATAGTAAAATAATCCTCATCTTCAATTAGGATGGGGAAGAGGAGAATTAAAAATGAGCACAGAGGACAGTTAGTCCATTGGTGTTGGCTTTATTTGTCTCATGCCTTATATATGATTTTGTTTGCATGAAATATTTTACCTCAGACATCATACTTTATTATTTTAGGGGATATTTTGGTGGTCTGCCTGGATACTGTCCCTCTTCAGGGCCAGCACAGCTAAAACCCAACCACTGAAAATACCAGATGATAACTCATAACCATGTCATTCACTGGGCATTGCCCTTGGTGTCAGGGAATGCCCCACTTGAAGTTATGCTCCCTGCAGTGGGGCAGCCAGCAGCCGATGACTGGTTCATGGGAAGATACAAATGCCCGGCTCCCTTCCTACAATTTAGTACCACTCCAAATAGCCATCCCAGCTGAAGGATAAATTAAATATTATTTTTACTGAGGCATCACTTGTAACCTCATTTGTAAATCAGCTTCTCCCTTTGCCAATCCTGCTTTGCTCATCAAGTGCAAAACATTGTGTTTTGCAATTTGTAAAATCATTGCATTTTAGCCACTGCATTAATTTAGAACTATGAACAATACTGCCAAGTTTTGCACCGTCATTTTTTGAAGAACAGATCATTGGCTGGATACAGAATTCTTGGTTGATTTTTTTTTCCCTGCAGCCCTTAAATATGTAATCCCAATATCTTTTTGTTACTTCCATCACTTATGATGAAATGTCAGCTCTCATTTGTATCATTGTTCCCCTGCATGTGATGTGTCCTTTTTTTCTTACTGCTTTCAAGATTTTCTCTTTGTCTTTGGCTTTCAGCTACATGACTATGATGTGTCTAGGTATGGCTCTCTTCATATTTATATTTGGTATTTGTTGAGCTTCTTGGGTCTGTAAGTGTTTTTCACTAAATTTAGGAAGATTTCAGCCATTATTTTTTCAAATATTTTTTCTATCCTTTTCTATCTTCCTTCTCATTCTGGAACTCTAATTGCATATATGTTGGAACATTTAATATCGTATTTTGAGGTATTTTCTGGAATATTTTCACTTTCTTTAGTGTTTTTTTTTCTTTCTCTGTTTTTCGGATTGGAAAATTTCTATTGTTCTATCTTCAAGGTCACTGATTCTTCTGCCATCTCAAATCTGCTGTTAAACTCATCCTGAGAATTTTTTATTCAATGACGGTAACATTTAACTCTAGAATTTCTATTTTCTTCTTTTTTATGTTTTCTTTCTCTGGTATCATTCTCTATTTGTTTACTCATTTTTGACATATTTGCCTTTAATTACTTGAGCATCTTTCTTTAGCTTTTTAAACATATTTTTATCTCTTTCTAAGTTTTTGCTAAATGCAGCATCTGTAGCTTCTCACAATCATTTTCTGCTGGTAACTTTTTTATTTTCTGAGTGCAGATCAGTGTTGAAAATTCAACACTGTAGATAATATGTTGTAACAGTTCTAGATTCTGTTCTCCTGAGGAGCTTTGATCTTTTTACTTTCAGTAGCTAATTTACTACCTTGATTTAAAATGTGAACTCTGACTTCTCTGTGGTATGTGTCTTCTGATGTTTATATATGACAACAAGATTATAGAAAATTCAGTGCATTCAGGCAAAGATTCCATCAACCCGACTGATTGGTATCATGTTAACCAAACATCCCCATAATCCTCTCAAATGTTCACTGTGGTGAGGAGTTTACATCATACGAACAGAACTTGACAGAAATTATTAGGTTGTTTAAGAAAGGCAACTTTTAAGAGATGGAAATCATTCTATTAATTTTTTAATGTGTCTCTACCTCTTTAAAAACCAAATTGTCACTCAGGTTATTATTACTCAGCTTTCAGATTTATTACATTTCAATATTGGATGGAACTGTATGACTTTGGTGGCCTGTGTGCTCTACGTGTCAGAGTTGGTGGAACATAAACTTTTCTAAATAAAATATCTCCATTTTCAGGGAGGATTAAGCACCAGAAATGAAATGTGTCTGTCATATCTTCTTTATTACCCAAGAATTAATCTTACTCGATGTGCAAGTATTCCAGACATCATGGAACAACTTCAGTTCATTGGTGTTAAGGAGATCTACAGGCCAGTCACGTAAGTAGTAAACGGATTTCATAGTGGGGTCGTATACTTCAGAGAAGGATGGGATTCATTTTCATTTTCGATTTATCACCACGTTATGGAATTCCTTTAAGTCTTGTTCAGTTTACTTATTTTTAGCTGGGATGACAAGGTGAGCTTCTTGGTTGGTGTGTCCAGGGTCCCCAAGACTCCCACCAGGTTCAGTGATTTTTCTAAGAGGACCTAAAGGATTCAGCCTATTATTGTATCCATGGCTAATATTTATTACAGAGAAAGAACACAAAGCAAAAATAACAAAAGGAAAAGGCACATGGGCCAAGTCCAGAGATAACCCAGTACAAGTGTCCAAGAGGCCTCTCCTGTGGAATCACATAGAATGTACTTAAGTCTACTAGCATCGAAGTATGACAACATGCACGAAGTGTTGTCAGTGAGAGATACTCATTAGAGACTCAGCACCCAGAGTTTTTATTGAGTGCTGGTTATATAGGTGTCCTCTACCTAGTGAGTACTAAAATCTAGACTCCTAGAAGGAAAGCAGATGGTCAACATAAATTGCATTGTTTGTCCAAATAGTCGAGGCACAGTGAGTCACTATTTAGAGAAAGTTTTATATCAGTATGGGAAATTGTTTACTACTTAGGTTCGCTGATGCCCGCCAAAGTCCAGCCTTCCAAACAAGCATTTCTAAGGATGGAATTCTCAGGACTACTATGTTCACTCGCTCTGCACAATTGCACATCATAGAAACTACTCAAGATAAAATAACAAACAAGATATATATTATTTCTGCCCTCTTGGGATTATATTCTAGAGTGGGGGAGGGGTAAGAAACAATATAAAAATAAAATTTCAGGTATTAGTAAATGTTATGAAAATAAGACAGTGAAGAAAGTATGTAGCTGTTGTCAGTAGGGTGGTAAATGCCTCCCTGGGAAGGTCTCTTAGTCTGTCCCGGCTGCTGTAACATAGTACCATAGACACAGTAACTTATAAACAACAGAAATTTATTGCTCACAGTCTGGAGGCTGAGAAGTCCCAGATCAAGATGCCAGTGGATTCAGTGTCTGGTGAGGACTCACTTTCTCATAGAGTCTTCTAACCGCAACCTCACATGGCAGAGGGTAAGAGGGAGCTTTCTCAAGCTGCTTTTATGAGGGCGCTAATCGCATGAGGGGATAAGGCCCCAGCTCATAATACCATCACCTTGAGTGTTAAGATTTCAACATATGAATTTTAGGGGGGGATATAAACATTCAGTCCATGGCAGGAGGTGATGTTTGAGCAGAGACCTAAGTGATGAGAAGCTAGCCATGGAAAGATATAAAGTGTACTCTTTGCAGAGAGAAGAGCCAATGTAATGACCCGAGGGTGGGTATGAACATAGTGTGTTCAAAGAACAGCAAGAAGGCGAGTGTGGCTGGAACAGGGTGAAATATGGTAGAGGGTAAGTGAGGAGGTCTGACAGCAAGAGGGATGTTATAGGCGACATAAAGTTCACGTAGGACTTTATAGGCGACATAAGGACTTTGGGTTTTAAGTGCAAAGAGAGGCCATTGTAGGATAGAAACAAAGTTGATTTGGCCACTGAATTGAGAAAAGACTCTAGGAGCACCAGACTGGAAAAACAAACCACCAACCAGGAGACTGTTGTGATCGCAATGTTGAGTTGTGTTGAGTTGTGAGATGAATGTGTCTGGGACCAAGGGGGTGGCAGTCGAGCTGATGAGAAACAGTTACAAGCAGGTTACCTTCTCATGGTAGCACATGCTGGACCCACTGGTTGACGCCATCTCAGGGAGGTGATGAGGGAAAAAGAAGAGGAAAGAGAAAATGGTGATGTGTGAGTGCTATAGGGAAACATATTTGAAGCAGAAATGGAAAGTTGTGTTTTGGATATATTAAGGTCAACGTAGATAAAAGGATTTTATTCATTCTTAGCAACACCACAAAGAAGAATTAGGATGGCTGGTGGAAATTTTGGGGCATAGATTTTGTTTTAATATAAGGAAGAATTTTCTAATGAAAGAGACTGATATAATTAGGTGAAAGGTACACGTAGATTTTTGAGGGGCTATGTTTAAGGAGAGGATTAAAAAACACGTCATGAGAATATGGTCAAATGCATTCAGTGAAGTAGCATGTGATTATGATCTACTTTTTATTCCAAAATATTATAGAGATTGTAAATGATGAACTAAGTGCGCTCTTCTTTTTAAATTATACTATCTGTAAATATGTTCTAGTGAGTTCCTACCCAGACAACCCAATGACACCAGAAGTCTGTATGTACTAAAATACAAATAACAAAATGCTTATGTAAATTCATTTGTAGTTCATAAAGTATTTCTGTATGTATAATTTCAATTAATTTGTTTTCACACAATTCCAATAGGTAGAGTAGGACTTGCAATCCCAATTTTGTAGACGAGGAAATGGAAACTGAGGGATTCAGAGATTATTCCACATGAGATGGTGCATAATCAATGGAGGAGCAAGTGTTTGTTGTGTCTCTGATGTAGAGAGGGAGATAGATATCTGCCTTTTTATTCAAAATAAATAATTACACATGCAAAAATACAAATGGTAATGAATATCAAAACAGTATATAAGATGTCATTCTAAAAACACTAGGATTTAGTCTTGTTTTTATTTTTTTTCCAAAGATTTCATTTATTTATTTGAGAGAGAGGGGCAGAGGGAGAGGGAGAAGCAGCTTCCCACTGAGCAGGGAGAGCCCGATGTGGGACTCGATCCCAGGACCCTGGGATTATGACCTGAGCTGAAGGCAGACGCTTAACCAACTGAGCCACCCAGGCATTCCTATAGTCCTGTTTTTAAAACATCAATATTGTTCCTAACTAAGACTTAGTAGCCTTTTTATTCCCTTTAGAATATTTTTTTTACATAATGACTGGAAAATTTCCCTATTCAAGAATTAATCTGAGAGCATGTTGAAAGCAAGTGGACATTCAAAGCTGTTTGTTTTATAAGGTGATGATTCAAAATGTATTCTACAACCTAATTATTTTCTTTTGTGTTCAACCTGTGTAAATCCTCTGAAAACACTCCACTCCCAAGTTTTAGTGAGCTGTGTTAGAGTCCATGCCTTTGGTCTCTCCCAGGAAATATTGAAGTTGGGTTTTTCATTACTTACAAAGACAGGGAGAATTGCTTCCCAGACCCAGGCCAGTTTTGAGATGTCACTGCCCACATAAAACCACTTAACTACATGGTTAAATTTATTTATTCTTCAAAAATACAAGTGAGAAGGAGCCTCTGTTGTAAAATTCATGTTTAGGCTTTAAATCAGATTTTCAAGTGAGTTCATCCCACTGACATCGATGTTATTGAAAGCCAGACCAACAAGGTACTGGCTAAAAGATCAGAAAGAGAAATGGCTTGGATGACTTTTTTTTTCTGTTTTACTGCGGAGAATATTGCGAATTTTGTTTCAGGATACCATACTCAAGAAGAATATCCTATAATATATAACCCCTACTCTCCCATCCCATGCCTTTAACGTAATGATTAGTTGGGTTCACAAGTTATTTTAAACATTCTGTAACAATCCTAGGATCAGAGGAGGAGCTGGTAGAAACGTAAAGACAACTACATCCTGTCTCAGGATCTGTCTGTTTGAGGGGTTGCGATTGCCCTCTGCCTCCTACAGATCTAGCAGGGCTTAAGGAAAAACAAAAGGACTCATAAAGATCAGAAAACAGACTAGATCATGCATTTAGATAAATTCTGTATTCTTTGCTGCACCACACATCGACCCTGTCTACGTAGCTCCAGGGAGGCTTATGTGATGGGAAGTTTGATGTAATTTGTTCCATTTCTAAAAATGAATCAGGGGATGTGTGTATATTTTTCTTTGTAAGAAAACTCACTTCATGTTTATACTGTGTAAAAATCCCCCAGGCTTGTTATAAGGGCTTTAAGGAATGCAGAAGAAAAGGATTCAAAAAGAAGGCACAAGCTATCACCTCAAATTTTGCTAGAAATAAACAATGCTAACATTAATTGAATGTTATTACAGACGTCTTTCTGTGGGGGTATTGCCATAAAGATGAATAGATTGCTGTTATAAGGATGATAATTTGGTATACTGTTTTAAATAACACAAAATCTTAATTTTGTTTAATTTATATAAAAACATGGGGCACCTGGGTGGCTCAGTTGCTTAAGCATCTGCCTTCTGCTCAGGTCATGATCCCAGGGTCCTGGGATCGAGTCCCGCGTCGGGCTCCCTGCTCTATGGGGAGCCTGCTTCTCTCTCTGCCACCCTTCCCGCCTGTGCTTTCTCTCTCTGTCAAATAAATAAATAAATCTTTAAAAAAATTTATATAAAACACAAAGCTAAAACTGAACAGTTGTTGAACTTCAGATAAATGTGGTTGCTGTTACTGTTTTTAGCCATGAGAGGTAATATTTCATAAAAGGGTCTCAAATGTTGAGAACATAGATTATAAAAGACATTAAAATGTTATACACACTTGTTTCACTACATGTTTCGACTTCAGATCATAAAAGATGAGGACATTCATACTTTCACATTTCCCCCCATGTCCCTTTTCCATACCTCCAAATATTTATTACTTAGATTATAATTTTTGTATTTTCAAGATTTTAAATTTTCCCACTTATTTCTCAAACCAAATTCCCACAATATTTAATGCAACTTTTAGAGTTTAATAGATTCAGTGGTAATCCCTAATCTTACAGGATATCTACATTTCCGACTCTTTGATTTGATTCATCAGAATGTTATTTCCAAGTTGGTTCATCAAGAAGGGTTTCCAAGTGCTTTAAAATGCCCTGTGTTTTGTTTTGTTGTTGTTGTTGTTGTTTTGGTTTTTGTGTGTGTGTGAATTTCTGCATTTATATCTGGACAGCATTTGGCTGGATATAACATTTTGGGGCCATACCATTTTTTTCCCCTTGGGAGCTCTCTTTGGATGAATGGTAATATTCTTCATCTACCTGTAGAATTCGTAAGTTAAACTGAA